CTATTCAACTGTTTGCATACAAATATACAAAGTATGAATAAGTAAAACCTGAGCTTTACAAATGAAACGGGTGAACACAATTGGGCCTACGCAAAGGCAACACTTGTGTATCCTTTCACTGCCCTGCCAAGGGCTTCCATCAGTGCCTGTCGGCAGGAACCGGGGTCATGTACAACCCTGCCCCTGTTCATAAACATGCTCCAGACCTTCCTCTTCGCTTCTGCCTCTTACCATCTCTTCTCCAGAACATACAGGATATATATCCTGTTGAAAAAGGCTATGAGCACACCCCTTATATCCTAAATGTGCTTATATCCGGTGTGTGCTTGTATCAGAAGTTTCACACTTACACCCTCCTGTGCAATGTGCAAAGACGTATTGCTTATAGGAGACCTGTGCATATTCGTAGGGTCATGCTTATAACCATCTTATATAATCGTCACACTGTTTTTGTACGGTAGCTTGGGATGCATTTAGACTAAGACGCTCAGTAAATCGAAGCTCTGTTTGTAGTGTCGGGATTTCATTTTCTGGTGCCATCTCCGGCTCACGATTCCGCAGTCACAGTCCACCGTCGCTGTTCACCCCTTGTCAGCAGCGCCTCGATGTTCACCCGGCATTCTTCCAGTTGCTATCCCAGTGTATGCACGGGGGTGCAGCGGGGAGGCGCCCAAAAGTGAGTGTACTCAATCCCATCGCTGGGAGTCATTGGATTTCAAAAGCGCCACCTGGCAAATGGCGACAGCCGGGGGCAAGTCAGATGGTACCAGGTCACAGTGAGGGGGTGGGCTGAGATGAGTGACGGGAAGGAATTAAAAGAATAACTTCCCCGAAGTAGTCTGGCGAATCGCGTCAACAGGACCGTGACAGTCGAGTACTTTGTTCGGCCCAAGCTGACGAGGGGTAATATTTTGATTTAAAGCTTTCGTGACTGCAGGGATTGATATTCTTGGTTCTTTCGGTAAAGTCACGTAGAAGGGAAACAATAAAATAATAAAAATATTAAAAAATAAAATTCTCACGACGTTTCGACTGAGAATTTTATTGTTTTATATTTTTATTAGAGGGGCAATGTGTTGATCGTTTGCTGAATCGGTCTCTCAATTGAGTCGATGCAATTAATTTTGAAGTGACAATTCAATGAAAAAAAATATTATTTCTGGTCTGATTTGTAATCTAAAGTTTGTATTTATTTAGGATTTTCATATCTCTTTTGCCAAATGTTGCTTGTTCCATTGACCTAAATGCACCATTTGTATATTTATAGCCAAAGTCAAAGTGATTTGCCGCTCAACGAGCAGCATTGAGGCGGTCCTCATCTATTGTTCAAAGCCCTGAGTCGGTGGTGGAAATTCCACATTCCTACAGCGGGGGCGAGTCTATCCATTGGACAACCATGGTTGACTTCCCCACAAAGTGGAATTCATTGTATCGACCCCCAGAGCAATTATAGGCCGAGTTAAACCCTCAACCAGGATTTGAACTCACAACCTTCTGAGCGCAAGCCACTTGCTCTACTGCTAAGCCACCTGGCCAGAAAACAATGCATGTACGAATGGATCGTTCCATCATTACTTACCTACCTGTTAAGGCTGACTGGCCAAAGAAAGTGAGGCCTGTCGAGAATACTTTAAGTTTATGAGCGGAAAGTTAGCAAGAGTTATTGGCAAGTTTGTTGTTGTTGTTTGTCTTTTAACCCAGTGCTGCAGCATGGCTACACACAGTGCAATATAATTCGGATTTACATGGCCTTCAAATGCAACTCAAGACACTGCGCAGAAACAGTAGGCATGTTTATTTCAGAGGCGGCCAGTCATTGACTAGAGGAGAAAATTATCTTCGAGTCTGCTCATGGAACAGAGGAAGGGAAATGAACAGCACAAATAGCTGGGGGGGGGGGAGTTTGTAAATCTTGGGGGGCAGCAGAAGAGAAGAAGCGACCTCCCACGGAGTGAAGGTTGAGTGGGGGCTTCGACAGAAATTACTGGTCAGAGTTGCAGTCCCTCTAATAGTACAGGACGTCACTACCGCGTAGGTTTTGCCTGGCTGTGCTATGCAGCACTCCGATGCGTGTTGGGGTTGTGCCGTGTGCTGCTCGGCATGACGCTGGACGTTTTAGCTCTGCATGCCGGGAGCTTCTTCACGAAGAAGCAAGGTAATATAAAAAATAACTTACATTTCTAAAGCACCTTTCTACTAGGTACTCAAGGCACTGTAGACATCACGAAGAAATGGGAGGAAAAACTAAGGAGACAAATGGAAGCTAATTTATAGAACTGAAGAAAAGAGAAAATAATTCCACTTCAGGGTCATAAACAACACTGGGGCAAGGCATTGCAGAGCCACCAAGAAGCAACACAACAGGAGCACCCATTGTGTGCAGCCAAATGCGGGGAAAGCACAGGGCACCAGCTATCGAAGCGCGAAGCCTGCGGGATTGGCCACGCATATGGGGTCAGTAAATATGTGAGCTAACTTGGTTGTCCGCTTTTGAGAGCCTTCCAAAGTCAAAAGGAGAATCTTTAACTTCACTCTGAGCTTTATAGCAAGCCAGTGAAGATAGGCTAGGACCGGACTAACGTGTTCAAACGTCGGGACTCTTGAAAAGATTCCGGCAGCCGAGTTTTGGACGAATTTCAATTTATCCAGGACTTTGGCAGGGGCACCAAACATAACTCATTGCAATAACTGAGCCTTGCAAACACAAAGGCATGCGTCGGCCTCTCCGCATGAGAAGTGGACAAACAAGGTTACTCAGACGAGCGATCTTTCTAAGATGAAAAAAAGCTGCGATGGTGATGTTTTTTTACGAGCCTTAAATTATAGGACCGAGTGGAAAATAACACGGAGATTTTAACAACCGGAAGTGGGAAAGTAAAATTGTAGATGCTGAAAGTCCACAATCAGCAGTATCTCTATTTTCGCAACTGCTTAACTGCAGAAAATCAGACTGAAACCAAATCTTGAATATCGGTCAGCATGACATCAACGACGAAAGGGCCAGGGCGATATCCAACTTTGATACATTTTAACGTGTCATCTCTAAAGCAATGGTATTTAATACTATACCGCTGAACGATCCGACCGAGTGGTGGCACGTAGATGCCAAACAAAACCGGACCACGCTCCGAGCCCTGAGGGGCACCAATGTGACATGGCCAGTATCAGAAAAAGGATGGGCCGAGGGCCACAAAGTGTCTCTGGCCTGTCGAATACGACCGAAGCCACAGACGTGCCATGCCGGTCACCCCAACAGTAGCCTCAAGGCCATGCAAAAGGACAACACGATCGACAGAATTGAAAGTGCTGCACTCAGGTCTGGTAGAACGAGTGTGGACGATGCGCCAGAGTCAGCAGCCATGAGAAAATCATTTGTGACCTTGACCAGGGCAGTCTCCGTACAAGGCGCAACCCGGAAACCCGATTGAAGGGGCTCTAAAAGCCCATTTAATGTCCAGTGGTCTTGCAAGTGTGTTGCAACCGCACACTCCTGAATCTTAAAGCAGAAAGAGAAGATTCGAGATTGGTTGAAAGTTTGTTAAATACGCTGGGGGACTAGGTTTGGTTGTGTTGTAGCTGCGCAAGAAGGGCCGTGGGATTTTGATCGAACAAACAAGTGATTGTCTTCGAGCTAGCAATTTCCGTTGATGAGACACCTGAAAAATGAGCCAATGGGAAACCCACAAAAGTTCCTGGAGACTCGGCCAGACCAGATTCAGACAATGTGCAGGAAACATTGGATCGGATATTTTCAACCTTCGATGAAATGGAGGAAGGTGTTGCAGAGCTCACTAGTCGGTCACAGGGGGCGACTGCACGGCAGGTTTAAGAAGGCACTCGACAATTGAATCATTTGGCGAGACCCCGGAGTCCCGCAAAAATCAGGTCAATAATTATTATTTTTCAGTCCGCCCACTCGTGATCCCGACAGCAACGCACCGCCCGCCCAGACTCGCGCCAACAAGCGCCAGCAGCAGGCGGCGATCAACACGATGGGCGCCACCCCACCGGCCAAATGCAAGCCCTGGGGGGCGTCCGCCGCAGTCGCGCGCGGCGACAACGCCCTCCGGTCAGCTGTCGATCCTCAGCTTCTTTGCCTAGGCGAGCCCGCCCCCCAGGCAGTGAATTTAACGTGTTCATGTAATTTTTCAACTTTTTACGAAACTTAGTGCCCCGAGTAGCTCTCGACGAGGCCAATCGATTGACACTAGTTTTGTTCTTCTTGGTTCTTTCGGTAAAGTCACGTAGAATGGAAATAAAATACAATCATTGAAGCGCTGTCGTCCCGACAGTTCTGTTCCTTCACCTGAAGAAGGCTACATGTGTTGTGGCCGAAACGTCGTGAGAATTTAATTTTATTATGTTTAATTTTTATTATTTTATTTCCATTCTACGTGACTTTACCGAAAGAACCAAGAAGATTAATCCCTGCAGTCACGAAAGCTTTAAATCGAAATTAGTTTTGTTGTCGGTAAGGCAAGACTCGTGTCGCTACGCGGTTTTTCCCACCCCAGGGCAGTGATGGGACCCCGGGGTCCCGCCAATTGCTTCAATTGAAAAAAAAAACACGTGGGGCTGCGTTTCTTTATCTGAATAAGCGAGGACTGCAAAGAAAGTTTGGCACTACGCAAAGCAACCCGAAAATTCGGAAGGCGGAGCTTGCAAGCCTTGTCATGAACTGTACGAGCAGTGGACCTACATTTCTACTGGAGACAAAGAACGACGGTCTTCAGGGGCCCAAGATGCTCATTGGTGGCGCAATGTCTTCCAGGATAAACGTGACGCGACGACACGCGGCACAACTTGAGAACACACCGCGGGAGCTGAGCAGTAATCATTGCGTTCAGCGCAACCATCGTGGTCTCGAAGCACCGGGCAGAAACTACACCAGGCACCTTAGCGCATCCCGCTTGTCTTTTCAGCGCATATCTCGCGCGACAAGGCAAGGCTCGCCGCGGGCAAAGGAATGGCAAATGGGATTGCGGCTCGCTGGAACTCACCCAAGCTGCCTTGGCAGATGTCCGTGCGTGTGGCTCCTCCCACAATGAATTGCGGGTTTGAGCATATCTCCTGTTAGTGAGGGAAGTGGTAAAGGGGGCAGCACAGCAGGTAACAGAATTAAAAAAGGGGGGAGGGGGTGGTCAGATTATACACACACACCCACACGTACAAAAGCCTTAACAGACTTTTGGGGCAAGTGCTGTTAGCCATTAGCACCGATGTAGGCCGGTACAGCACATGAGGAGGTGGGAGGCCAGTACCACGACCCGGCCGCCTTTGTCTCCCCAGTGGAGATGTTTACACGCCACTCTGTGTAGTCATTTGAGGCGGAGTCGACATAGGGGAGGTCCAGGGCCGGTTCAGAGAACTGGTGTTTGCCGTGAGCGGGAATTGAACTCGGGTTGCCGGGTTTGTAGTGCAGCGTGCTAACCGCTGCACTGTGGCTCCCCACAAAAGCATGCAAACACACACAAGGTAAAGGCGTGTTTCAATTCTAGTCATGAATGCATGTAAAACACACGTGCACATTCACACGGACACGAAGTTACACGGTCATAATACAGTGTTAGGAGTTATACCATGCCTGGTAGTTGTGCAACACTGTACACACTAAAAGGACAACGCCCAAGAATGGATATTTTAGTGAATGCCATGCTAAACAACGTGCACATTTGCAAGAGAAGAGGCCCTTGAGGTGGGAATGTGGACATTGCCTAGAATTCAAATCATGTTGTAAATCAATGCATGAGGATGAATACAGGGTCGATATTTTAACCTATGTCGACGATTAATTCACCAAACTTCGTAATATGTATGTATATATGTGTGTTGAACTTCTTTCACACCATACGTAGCCAACCGTGCTAACCGGAGGTGCGGGGGAAGTATAATAAACTAAACACAAAAACGCAGTTCTAAAGAAATGAGTGTTCAATCTAGGTTTCAAAGTGCATAGCTCCAGTGGCTTCCTAATATCGGAAGGAAGAGTGTTCCAGACGGACGCAGAAGCGCATCTGAAAGCGTGCGATGCAGTGACCGTCTTTGTTCGATGGCCAGCCAAAAGCCGCTGCGAGGATGAGCGGAGTTTGCGTGATGGCCTCTGCTCCTTGACAAGATCAGCGAGGTATTTGCAGGTTTATTTGTGGTAAGCGCTTTGTGTGTGTAATGAGTGCGACCTTTTAATTAGTATGTTCAGCAATCGAAAGCCAATGCAGCTCAGCGTTACCATCAGAAATTAAATTACCACCATCGATGCTATAATCGTCGCGACCACTACTATTGCCATGGCATCTGTCAAACACACACAATAATCACTATACCCAATAACCATAATACTATCAACACCACAACCATTAATACTATCAACATCACGCTCACAATCATCACAAGGTCACCACCGCAGCCATGAATATGAACACATCACAACTGTCATCACTTTCTAATTTGAACTCTCATCACTACCATGAACATCAACACAATGATTACCACCACCACCCCTACCAACACCATCAACAAACACGATTACAATAACTAGCAAACATCCATCATCTTCTTCATGCCCAACTCCATCATCATCAATACCACCGTGATTAACCACACGACCAGCACAAACAACAAATCCATCAATAACAACACCATTAGAATCACAAATAACCACCGAGACCATCAGCAGCAGCAATACCAACATCAATACCAGAACTAACAGTCCTACAACATCCATCAACCATAACACCACGACCAACACTGTTATCATCATCATCTATGCCTCCGCTAACTAACCACATCGCTATCAATAAGGCCACCATAACAATCACAACCATCCACCAACATCGCCACCACCACGCACCGTAGGCCTACGCCACTGCACTCCACGTGTCTTGGACGAGCCGGGTCCCAGCTCCTTGAAGCCGAGAGAGGCGGCCGTGGCGGGGAAGCGGTCGTCCTCGAAGAGGGTGCCATTCTGCAGGCACCAGCCCCGGATCTTCTCGAAGTCCTGTCCCAGGTGTTTGCTGCACCTCTCGCTCGTGGCGCCCACGCCTTCCGACTTGTTCAGCTGCCTCTGCAGCCGCGCTGTGATGCCGTACACCATGGTGTCTCCCCGTGCGTTGCCTCTGAAATTGACCGAAGGCATTCGTCACGGTCGTTACCATCGGAGGGCCGTGCTCAATCCGGCGCCGGATCGAAGCCGCCGCTGTCCCTCGTCATCCTGAAATGCAAATGACGTTTTATACCTTGCAACGGCACGCCACCGGTTTATTTCGTCGCTTCTGCCTCCTCGGTGGACTTATAATCCGACGCATTCCATTCTTCGGATGACATTCCGTAGTTATTCTTGACCTGCATCCATCGTCCGCCATCACTTTCCAGCGACGTGCATGCCCTGCCCCAAGCCCAATCACTTTAATATTCAGTTTGAATGAAGTCATGAACGTAAGTTCTCTAATCCATACGTTTGTCCCTCTTTATATCTCGCAGTGTTTTAATACGACCATGGATGGATCCGTGTTGGCAGAAGATGTTGTCTTATAAAAAAAAACGGGTAGCAATTGGAGTGGAGGAGCGGTGGTGTGGTGGTTAGCGCATTTTTCGAAGATCAATCAGCAATCTGGGTTTGATTCCCGTCCACGGGTTGACATTTAAGTGGCATAACGTGGCCTCTAAAGCGTTATCTGTTACATAACCCCGCCCCACGGCCCTGAACCAACTCTCACTGAATCAGAATATGTATTTATACCGAAGAAATCCGATGAGCTATAAAGCTCTTTTTCACAGACGTCCAGTAGGTGGGATTCAGAACGTTACAACAATACAGAAACACGATAGGAGTAGACGCTATTGGAAAGGTAAACAAATTACTGTAAAATATATACAGAAATACAACTAAAAAACTATATTTTGTTATCTTACCAGGTAAAGCTCACCGAACTATTAGCGTCTATTTTAGAAGCGATCTGGCCACAAATGATCGCTCAACAAAGTGGCTTATCACGTGGACATTTTTAGCAGCAAAATCTCACGACCAATAACGACATGGGGGAGGTTCTTCATCATCATCCAGCAGTGGATTAATAGTGATTACATAACGGGTCACGGAATAACACGAACCAGGGCAGCGAAGCGTGTGTTTTGGGTTTTGCACACACACACACACGTGTGTGTAGCCATCCTGGTACGTACATAAGAACATTTAGAAACGGGTATTTACACGCAGACATTTGTCACAATGGTCTCCATCCTCCGTACTTCTGTAAAAAGTGTTTCCTTTTAACGAGTGAAGCCACTCACTATGCGAGACCTTGCCATGAATTGTAACGCTTAAAAAAATAACACAATGGAATGTACGACTAAAAAAAAATGACACGCTGCATTGTATTCACTAATCGTAAACACGTGTCAACAACACACGTTCGACTTCGTTTTGTTTTTTTACTCACAGTTTCAGACTCTCGGTGATCCTTTCAACAACTGATGCGTCTCTAGCTCTCTACTCTGTCTCTCTCCGCCGTCTGTCGACTCCGCGACTTGTCAAGAGTGAAGAAGCAGCAGCAGCTCGGAAGAGACGCGCGTGATGTAAGTAGCAGCAGGGTCTGCTTCGAAAACAAACAGCAGCAGCTGCAGCCGATGTTTGCTGGCTTGTCCTCGTCGTTTTTGTTGTTGTGCTGCTGCTGTTTTAATTATGTTTTATAACCGCTGTTCTTTGCCCCCCAAAAACTGCTCGGTCAACTTGGTAGGGACGTTGAAAGTCGTTCGTTGCTGCTGCTGCTGCTGTTTCTACTGCTGCCAGATTCTGATGCTGCTGCGAAACAGCAGGAGATAATCTGCTATGATGTAGCCACTGATGCTGCTGTTTCATGTAGCCACTGATGCTGCTGCTGCTGTGTGATGTAGCCACTGATGCTGATGTGTCATGTAGCCACTGATGCTGCTGCTGTGTGATGTAGCCACTGATGCTGCTGCTGTGTGATGTAGCCACTGATGCTGATGTGTCATGTAGCCACTGATGCTGCTGCTGCTGTGTGATGTAGCCACTGATGCTGATGTGTCATGTAGCCACTGATGCTGCTGCTGTATGATGTAGCCACTGATGCTGCTGTATGATGTAGCCACTGATGATGCTGCTGTGTGATGTAGCCACTGATGCTGCTGCTGATGTAGCCACTGATGCTGCTCTCACTGCAGAGTGGAGGTCTACTGCTGCAATACGACGTGGCTTGCGTCACCGCAGGAACCCGCCCTTTCCTAGGAGAAAATCCCCCCCCCTCCGTCCACCCCCTCGCCTTCCCCGCTCCCACTGACTTCCTCATCAGCGTGCCTCGCTCGAGCGTTGCCAGATCTGGGGGACATAGAAACCTTCAGATGCGTGTGTGTGTGTGTTGGCAAGAGCGTGTTTAATAAATGACGACTCCCATCGGTGTTGCCAACATCCGTAAAAGTGGGACGTGGTCGAACGAACTTCTCCAAAAAAGAAAACATTTGTATTCTGCTCGAAATGCCACGGCCGACTAAAAAGGAACTGAAGGAGATAAACATAAACAAATAAGAATAGGTTTTACCCTTTCTGGTAATACATCAGTTGCGTTAAGATGTGAAAACACCAAACAGAAACCTTGTTTTAAGGACTCCTGTCTGCATTAACCACACATACCTGTGGTGAACATGCAAACAAACATAAGCTCCAGTAGGGGCCGTCCATAAATGACGTCACGCGATTTTAGCCGATTTTTGACCACCCCTCCCTCCCTCGTCACACGGCGTCACACGGCGTCACACGGCGTCACAAAAAGTCAAACCCCCCTCAAATATGACGTCACAAAGCTCTGCCCACCACCCCCCCCCAAAAAAAACATATTTCCATTTTGAAAATAAAACACGCTTCAAATCACTTTAAACCATTGTCATTGTAGTGCGTATTTAATGTGGCGCTGCACTCTGATGTTGTAGGAGAAAACATTTATTAAAAAGGAGGCGCTGAAATTTAGCACAAAATTCACTTGAAATAATTCAACGTCTAACTAAAACTGCAGATGTTCAGAATATTATATTAAAATTATCTTATAATTAGAAAATTTAAAAAATTATAACTATAAAAAAATACATGAAACATTCATTCCACAGAATGAAAATCCCTGGTAGAATATAACAATTCTATTTAATTAATATTTATTTAAAGTTGCGCATTTTGATGTGACGTCACATTTCTCAACCCCCCCCCCTCGTCACACATCGTCACAAATGTCTGACCCCCCCCCCTCGGTGCGTGACGTCATTTATGGACGGCCCCGTAATATATGTATTGTTTTTTAAACTACTTGGAGAGAAAAAAACACACAGCCGTTGTTCGTGATGCAAACGCCATCAGCGGTTGCTGAAGAATGTGACTGAATGACAACAGTCAAAGATAGGCAACTGTGACCGATTTAATCTCTTTTTTGTGTTTAGGCCTCGTCAGCAAAGTATAATTACCAATGCTCACTGCTGAAAAGTCTGCCTCTGTTAATGCCACCCAACAATACAATCACAAATGTAAATAACGAGAAAACCCTATATTTCCGACCTGCACTATGCAAACTTATGGTTGTCCGGCTAGCACAATTTTTTTTTCTGTTATGATGGGGTTTTATTTCTCTCTCATCCATTTACAAATACGATTAATGCCACGGCCGCCGAACTGCAGGGCCACATGAACTGCGGGGAGGCGAGTGAGGCTGTGGGGTTGGCATGGACTGGAAGGGGGCCTTCTTCGGCCTCCAACGTGAGAGGTCGCTGACGGCGGATGGAGGTGGGGGGTGGAGAGGTGGGAGACGGCCCACGGCTAACTTCGGGCAAATAAGCTGCTGCGTGAAGCCACCCACGGGCAAGACAACAACAAAACCCCTCAAAAGTCTAATGATGGCGACGAGAGGGTGAGGTTTATTAATCGCGATGCAGTACGGTACCGCACGTACTGAAAGGCGAGCGAGGCAAAGATAGCCGTGTTAGGTAAATTACAGATGAAGATGAATCCACAGTGGCTTACAACTTACCATTCAGGAATGCGCATTCCCAGGCGGTTATGTAAGAGATGCATAGGCGGAGTTTGACTTCTCTATTTGGTGTGGGGGAGAGGGTTCGTTTTGTCCCTTACATAAGGAATCGCGGGTGCATATAATGAATGTATTTATGATCTTAATTGTAAACGACTGAAAATAAATTAATAAAAGTGCCCACTTTTGGGGGGGGGGGGCATTTCCCTCCGTGCCCCCCCCCCCAAACTCTGCCCATGAAGAGATGCACTGCTCCAAGGCCATGAATGCTGAACGCACGTCCCTCGAATGCGCAATGCTCAGACAATTACTGCCGGCGCGTCTTTGTGAACTTTTTAAAAAAAATCCTCTTTCTTCATCGCCGTTCTCGCTTTTGATGCACGTCACGGGGGGTAATGCCCGCTGATTTAAAACGCTCCTCTTCAGGCACGTCACTGCTGTATTTCATTTGTTGTTGACATCAAAGTCTGCTTCATATCATCAAAGTTTGCTGGCCCGCGGTGGGCTGACACAAAGAAAGTTTGCGCTGTCCTCCAGACAGTCTCGTCCCTTCACCTGATGAAGGCCGCTTGTGTTGTGGCCGAAACGTCGTGAGAATTGTATTGTGTTATTTTATTTTATCAATTTATTACTTTATTCTCGTTCTACGTGACTTTACCGAAATAACCAAAGAAGAAAAAGTTAAGAGCTATTTCGCATTCTCGCGCCGTGTGCCGATAGCGCCCCGGTGTGGATTTTGTAAATATGTAAAACTATCTAAAGTGGTTTAAGTATACATTTTGATTTAAAGCTTTCGTGACTGCAGTGATTCATATTCTTGGTTCTTTCGGTAAAGTCACGTTGAAGGGAAACAATTAAATAAATAAAATATATAAAACAATAAAATTCTCACGATGTTTTGACTGTAACACAAACAGTCATCATCACCTGCAGTTGTGCAGGCGTGCTGTCTTATCATCAGAGAGCTGCTGTCTTTGGTCTTCTTCTTGTGATTCTTTTTTTACATCAAAAGAAACCAAGTAATGGATTTGTTTCCCTCTTTCAAGCGACTGCCGTTGACTTTCGAAGTGATTATTTGGGGGAAGTTGTGACGTGCCGCTTTCTACATTCGACGAAGGACTTTGAAGCTGGCCACATTGCCAAACGGCGCAGTGATAATTTGTCATTGATGGGGGGGGGTGTTGTCCCACGAACTAGCAAATGCATCCCAGTGATCATCAGTTAATGGTTAGATTCCAGATAACAAGATCGGCGAAGTTCGCCCGCCACCAACATCGTCATGAATAAGAAGAGTTACACGGCGCGGTAGTAATAATAATTTAGGATTGGTATCAATATTTTAATGATGCGCGACTACTGGTGACTGACTCAGTATTGAGCATGGTGTGTATGTATCGTTACTCAGCAGACGCAATACACACGCTGGCGATGCCAGTGACGGAAGCGTTGATCGGAAGAAAAAGTCAGACGCTGGACATGTCACCCCGGGTCTCTGCTGTGCACGAGACGGGAGTTCGTCCTAAAAAAAAGGGGGGTGGGGGGGGTGATTGACCTCTGTCTAAATAAACAATTTTCCCAGGGAAGGAATCGGTCCTCGGCCAGACCCAGCCGACTGACTGTCACAGACACCCTAATGAGCGTCTGTCTCGCCCTGACGTGCTAACAAGGAGTCCCCGCCAGGCAGCGCCGCGAGGTGTCCGGTTGTCCACATTTTACGTGGGGCATTCAGCGTGCAGCATCTGCGGGGATAAACTAGACTCGGGAGAACAGATTCAAACAGTTTCGCCAATGATACCGGTGACCTTACGTTAAATTTTTATAGGTGACGATTCGGGCAATGGCCCTTGACAGTACATGTAAAGGTAGAGAGTGGCCTCTCTATGTGCTGTCTAGGAGGGCCAATATACACGAAACATAGCCTTTTATATATTTGTATATTTAAGACCGCGGTGATATTGACGAATCTATTGATTACATTGTGTTCGTGCCACCACTGCCAACGCAGCTTGACCTAATTATTTGTTTATACTTACACCTATTTCGGAGGGCTGCAATTGCAAGAAGTATTATTATCAATGTTTTTTATCGGCTGAAAAGATTACCGCATTTTGTTTCTGCTTTGGTCATATAAATAAATCGGTCCCACAAATGTTGTGTTTTGCTGGTGGACCGGAGGAAGAGTTGGGTAGTGCCCTGCACTATGAACCCCACCACATGAGTTGGATTCCCGGCCACGGCTACTGTTAGTGGCGAGTGATATCCGAACCGGTCGTGAATATCCACGATACCTTTCAACAACCCGCCCGAACCAGCGTGATGAAGTATGGTCAATAAACTTCAATTATTTGTGTGGTTAATGAACGTCTATGATTTGTGTGGTCAATACACTTTTATTATTTGTGCGCTCAATGTACGTCTATTTTAACGCGACATACAGCAGGCCCATATATTTTAAAAGTTGTATTGTCTATTTTAAATTCACATGTAGCACTACCATTATCATCACCACCACCATGGCGAACATATGAATCTCGGTGGTGTGTACAGGTGAGTGTGCAAAAAAATACTCATCTGATACGGAGATTGGATGGTTGGATAAATAAATGAAGGTATGAATGCGTGGATAGATGGAAAAAATATGTTTGCGTGAGTGGATGGTATAATGGCCGAGCAGATGGATGGACGCGTGGAGCGATGGGTGGATTGATGGAGAGTTAAGATCGATGGCAGGGAGGTTACATAAGTCACGGTTGTGACTACCGGTGTCCAATACACAATCACGTCTGCGCAAAAAAAAATGTAGCGTCCGCTTCCGAATGATTGCTCTCTTCCCTTTTCCACGACTGCACGTCTCCTCCCTCCCCTCCAGACTCAAGCAGACAACATAATCCCATCCACGTGCTCGCCCCCCCCCCCACCCGTGTCGCCCCCCACCCCTTTCGCCTCCTACCACGATCCTTGCAATACACAAGCCGGGGGGGGAGGAGGGCGGGGGGCAATTAGTGGAGGGCGATTTCGTGTGGAGTGTGATCAGTCTGAAGGACACAAGATGAGAATAAATTCCCGCTGAGGCTGCCAAAGTTGGTTTAAGTCAAAAGAGAGACGCGACCGCGTCCCATTCACTTTCCTTATCTTAACGGCCAAGCGAAATCATAAACAACATCGGAACGCTTACTACTATAGAATTTTTTTCCCCAGGTAAAGTCAACTGAGCTATACCAGCTTTTTGTCAGAAACGACCTGGCCGCAAATGGTAGCTCCAATAAGTGGCTTATCATTTGGAAATGTATAGCAGCCCAATACTCTAAAGGCATGTTGTTGATTCTAAATGTGGAGGGGGAAAACCGGAGGACCCGAACAAATCCACATGACCACGGGGAGAGACGTGCAAACTTTCAACATACAACAGCAGGCGTCAGGGTCGAGATCGAACCCGCCACCTCTTGCACACCAGGCGAGGGGGAATCACGGCGGCGATATGTTATTGTGGCCGGGTTTTCCCTCCACAGCGAGTCTCTGAATAAAAGGGCACTTTTAACGAAGTGTTATTGTGAATTGTGTGTTGAATCATCTTTACGAAAGTTAGAGTGCCCCCCCCCCCCAACGCTCAAAAGGAAACGTTGACATCTCTGGCAGATTGCATGCCGCGTAATATAATCGGGAGCGGTAGGTGCAGTGGCTTCACGCACTGCGCTTTAACTCCGACAAACCATGTCTGCGATTCCGGACACGGCTAACATCAGTGGCGAGTGACATGATCTGAATCCCATACCTGGGTCCCTCCTCCCCCCCTTCATTAATCCCCACTCACTGACCAACGTGGTGAAGTATGGCCAAACAACGCCCAGGGGGAGGCCTTAATTCAGCAGTAGAAATGTCACATACCCGTAAATTTCAAAGTGTATATTTTGCCACCACACTTAATATAAAACGTCGGAGAATTATTTGGTGGTGGAGCTCTCTGGTCCGATGTACCGTGAAGAAGGTCCACTGCCGGAAACGTCTCCTATTATAAATATCTTAAATGCAGCGTTCGTTGGCAAAATGTGTTTCTATATAAAGCTTTGATCAGTATTGTTCGTTTACATCGTATCGCGACTGGGATAGTTCGCGACAGACGTGTTTATGACAATTACCTTGACTCGCTCACTTGTCGATACTCAATTACAAGTTGGATCCTTTTAACATGAGAATTATCCGCATCATCATTATCACCACCACCACCATCACTACAGTCAACTTACTGAGAGAAGTCTTAAACAACAAAGGGCGGCCCGGTGTGCACTTTAACGTGGCCAGGAAGCCGTTCCACGTGGTGTATTGCGAGGCGTTAATTATAATCCGCCGAGGTTCAGACGAGACGCTGGCGGGAGCGAAGGGGAGGCGGTCAGAGATGAAGGGCGGCGATGGGTGGCGATGGGGGTTGGGGGGAGTTCAATCGTTTTTTTTCGTTTCTTGCTCCTGCGTATAAATCAGGGACACGCGGAGCAGAGATCGTCAGTCTCCGCCACCTGTCTCCAGCCCTCTCCGCTGCTCACATTTCGCGCACCCGCGAACTTTCCACCTTGCCTCTCTTTAACTATCACCGTCTCCTCGCCTCCTCTTCGATTCGATCAGGCTCTGTATTGTCTCGCGTGCTGATAATGACGGCGGCCCTGATGATGATGACGATGGCGCTCATGATGATCGTCGCGTTGGTAGTGGTGATCCCTGGAGCCCACGGCTACCTGGAGGAGGAGGTTAAGGCCTCGCTGCTCGGGGCCCTGGGTCTGAAGGAACCTCCGCGGATCGAGAAGAGGGATCTGGAATCGGTGATCGTTCCGGCCGCGGTGCGGGCGCGCTACGCGTCGATGCTGCAGAGACACCGCGAGAGGAGTCGGCGGAGTCTGCCGAGTCTTGCCGGCATCTTCCGCGGACTCCGTGGCAACGCAGGTGAGAGTGCGGGGGAGGAGGAATACGTGTTCACCACGATCGCCGTTACCCCGAGGAGCACCCACCTCGCATGCAGGGTACATCTGGCGAGAGAATGAGCGGTGAGGCGTGCTTGAAAGGGGGACGTGCGCGATTCGCGTGAGATAGGGCGGTCAGAGCGCACGAGGCAGTTCGGAAGAGCGCGCACGAGAGAGAGATATTGCGTAAAGTGAATACATTATATGGTTCTAGATTTAAAGCTTCCGTGACTGCAAGGATCCATACTCTTTGGTTCTATTCGGTAAAGTCACTTAGATTTTTGTTGTTTTATTTATTACCTACGTGACTTTACCGAATAGAACCAAAGAGTACATTATATGGTGATGCAGCGTTGGCGTCGGTGCACAGGCAAACAAACGTAGCGACATTCGGCAATAACAAAGGGTTTTCAAACAAAACTAAATATATAACAGGCGGCGTTCCGTGTGGTCTGAAGTGAGGGCCGTTGCCCGAAGCTCCCGCCTGTTCCATTTCTTTTAATGTAGCGCTGTAAAGGGCTATCGCCTGAAATGTCGCCCGTTATATACTGTTATTCCTTTAAGGGCAAGACCCTTATTGACAAATGCGTTGAGGTTTTGTTGTTGCTGCTGCTGTTGTTGTTGCTGAGCAATGCCACCGCCGCCGTCGTAATCATCAAAATTGCCATCACAATCAGCATCACTGCCATCACCTCCGTGCAGGTTGGTCATGTTCAGACGAGTTATTGTTGACTTCTCCGTAATCAAGATCGATTTTGCGTCGATCAGTGCCTTTGCCGTCGAGTGTGTTCGAGTTACAACTCCACTACCGCTCGCTTCTGCTACGAGTCGATATATTCTCGAAATTGAAATGACTTTCACTTAAACCGAAGGAGCACCGCTCTTTGTGGGTGAGACTTTGCTGGGAACAATACTAATTAGGTTGGATATATTGTGCGTGGGATGGCGCGATTGCTTCGTGCGCCGCGTTACAAACCCACAGGATATGCTGATTGATGGCGGTGTGTATTCACGTGCGCGCGGTCGTGCCTGTGTGTAGACTCTGTGCCGTATGTTGATGGGTGCCTGTGGTGAGCGCGTCCGGGAATCCTGCGACTTACGCCCAATATGCGGTGGGCAAATAAATATATATCTCTGGGGGCGCTTCGTAGCCCCGAGTCTTGCAACAATCACACAAGAGGTTACTTCCCGGACGAGTCTCTCTCCCCCCACCCCACCACCACCAGCTCACCTGCATCCAAGTGACAACGTTAATAAAAACAGTCTCGCGCCCGATTACTATATCGTTGCGAGCTCTGATGCACGCCCCTCGGATGAATCGTCGATGATCAATGAGCAAGGGCAACTTTGCCGCGGTGCTATCGCGTCTAACGAGACGCGCGCGTGTGTGTGTGTCATCCCCCAAGACATTGCGGGCGACGTGGTGTTCGAGGACGCGACGCGCCAGCGGCTGACGTTCGACATGAGGGACCGCATCCCCGACAACAGCGAGGTGACGCTGGTGGAGCTTCGCCTCTTCAAGACGGCGCCCGGCGGGGCCTTCAGCGCGGCGGCGCAGAGGAGACACCCGCGGCCCGCCAACCACGCGCGCGTCAGCGTCTTCTGGCTGGAGGAGCCGCTCGTGGGGGCGATGAATCGCTCCACCCTGGTCGACTCCAGGTGAGCCGCCACGGCAAAGCGCCGTCGATCAGATGCGCCCGCAAGTATCTTTGATGGAGAAACAAAAACAAGCAAACAAACACGTTGGCTTGGGCTGGCCCCATTGGGGTGTGTGTGTGGTCAAGTCGCCGGGGGTAAATGTTGTGCTGCTGAGAAGTGTTCGTTCTGTGGAAACTCGAATGAACACATCCGCGTGGGGGAATCCTGTGAACCAAACCCTTCTCGGATCGGGGAAGCGCTCTCACACACGGGAGCTTCGCTTTTATGCACAGCTAGTGCGAAAAAAACCCCATGGTTTTCTTGCTTTTCAACACTCCTTCCCATTTTGCTGAAAAATAAAATCAATGTGTGGGCAAATTAGCCCACGTGACAACTTGATTTGCATTCATCATGTCACAGCCATACTCATCTGCTCTAACCCAATTACACATTTCAGATAATATATTATTTATCATTTATTTACATTTTACGACCATAGTTTTTGCCTCGATTTCTATCTTTTTCATTGCTGTATATCTATTTTTTGCTTGTAACTTTGGCGAATCAGAGGTCCCCTCGCGCAAATGAGACTCGTCTTGATCTCTACCCCCCCCCACCCCCCTGTCCTCCTCCTCTTCCACAACACACCACACACACATGCGCAGACTCGTGCCGGTGGGAGACTCTGGCTGGAAGGGCTTTGACGTGACTCAGGCCGTCCAGCACTGGCAGCAGCAGAGCGGCGGCGGTCCCCTCCGACTGGAGGTGCGCGTCGAGGGCGAGCGGCCGGGCAGCCACGCGGCGCACATGGCCTCGCTGGTGCGATTCACACCGCAGGAGGCCGGCGAACAGCCGCCCATCGGCAAGCCCGAGCTGGTGGTGTACACCCTCAACCTGGCCGAGTACGGGTAAGAAGAGTTCCCGGCACGAGTTTTCGTGTTTGGGTGTACGCACGTCGACACGACGTTGAGCTGTTTGCGCAACGTACGGAGCCAAGCGTGCTCATCGGGGGTGCGGGGCGAGGGCGATACACACAAAGCGCAGTTGTTAATACATTATATTTGTCACTGAAAATTGGATGGTGGAACCTTGGGACCGACGACGATGGTTTATTATGATTTCCTTTTAAGACAGTGTCGTTGACAATGTAACATGTAGGCTTTCGCGATCAATAATATCCACGACAAAAAGTTGCCGTGTCAGATCGTGAAACTTTTTGTTATAGCGACGACGATCATTCCGACGATCAAACCCGACGGCGATACTCCATCGTCATCACCATGATCTTTTGTAACCTTTTTCATCATCATCATCATCCTGACCTATCGTAACCTCTTTCACAACGTTCCGCCCTCCCCCACCAACCACCACCCCCGGACAGCGGCCGAGGCGACTGCGAACTCGACTCGTCGCACCCGGACCACGCCTGCTGCCGCGGCCACAACTTCATCAACTTCCGCGAGCTCACGTGGACCCAGTACTGGGTGCTGGAGCCCGCGGGCTACGAGGCGTTCCGCTGCACGGGCGGCTGCCGACAGCCGAGGCCCCTCCACTCGATGTACGGGCCACGCCACTGCTCGCCCGTCGAGAGTTCTCCGCTGCCCATGATGTACCTGGTGAAGAAGGGCGACTACACGGAGATTGAGGTGGCCGAGTTCCCCAACATGATCGTCGAGAAGTGCGGCTGCGCCATGGACAACATTTCCGTGGTGTGAGAGGGAGTGGTGGGAGGAGGGGGGGGCTGTGGTTGGGTCGATCGTGTCTCCAGAGGCCGTCTCATCTCGTGTGAATGTCTCGTGTCTGCCCCGTCTAGATCACCTCTCTCTCTCTTATCTCTCTCATTTCAAGTCTGTCTTGCCCGTCTCGCCTCGTCATCTCTTCATTTTTTTCACACGTCATCTCTTTTCCATCTCCGTCATCATTTCATTGGCGTTCTCCCATCTCAGCTCGAGTCTCTCCCATCCTCTCTCTCCGTGGTCCACGAGCGACACTCAGATCATCGACGGCCGCGTCCCTCAAGTCAACAGTTTGAAAAGGGGCTCGGGCCGACGGCTCCATTGCACTTAGCGAATAAAAATTAATAAAAAAATGACCATTACATAAAACACCCGATAGAGTTTTGTACATACCGATAACATTCCTAACCCTGCCGTAGTGTTTACACTTTTGTAATTTTTTGTTAATCAGTTTTAAACATTTAGCGATGAAATGTTTCACGCGACTGAATATTATGCGCAAAAATGAGGAATAAAAGTTTTCATCATTTGCTGTAAATAACATGCCGTACTAGTTTGTCGATATGCCATGGACTTTGTATTGGGCCGGTTTCTTACAAAAGTTACGCTTTTTAAACTTCGTTTTTTATGCCAAACATGTTTCCCGCCCCACACGTTCGATGGTTTTAAATACCGTCTGAAGTTTCATCGTCTGTAACAAATAAAAAGGTGTACATTGAGTCGGACTTGCTGTGGTTGGAATGTGTTTTTCAAATTGCACGAACGGGAAAAGTATCTTTAAAATAAATTATTTGGTGACGCTGCTTTGGGTCATTGTGACGAGGTCAAAATTGGCCGGGAGGGAGGACGTCTAACCAGGAAAGTCATCAAGGAGTCGTAGCTTAGAAGAAGATTAACTCCATCTCTATTGGTAGGGGCTGATATCGGCTTTTTAAAACGCAAGAAATCAGGCACACATCACGATGTCACTTAATCAATGCCGCTCGCTCGATTTATGCACGAAAATACAAACAAAAAGTGCAGTTTCACATGCGAAGGTCACTTTAAAGGGTTTACGATAAAGACAATGAAAGGTTCGATTAGTATGGTAGCGAAAGCTTCCTTTTCTCACCGTTAAGCTATTAATCAAAATCGCCCCCTATAAACGTCAGCAACCGTGCTATCTCCACCATAACCCAAGTCTCCAAACCAATCAGCGACGATCAAGTTAGCTGCCATCCGTCTTGATAAGGGCCGACTGATTACGGGTTGCTTACTGGCTGGCTTGCTCAGTGGTATTTATGGATGTAGCAACATCACTTATTCACTCGAGCTCTTCGGTCTATGCGTTATGCAGAACGGCCTCTTCCATAAATGTCACCTGTTATGGATATACGTTTCCTGCTAAGGCAGCGTTATTGGCGAATACGCCGAGATTATTTGAAAGGGATTAGCCCACTAATAGATGGATGGCTCATTTGCCGATTGCTATTAAAGCAATGCACTCTATTGGTTGTGAGCTCACGGATTTCTAGAAATTAGGTTCCACGGCAGCTAGGGCACAGGTAACAGACATCACCATTGCTGGTTCAGCTAAGGCTACTTTGTTGTACAGTGTTTTCCACAGCAATGCTAATCAGTCTTAACTATTTTATAGTTTTGCGTTAAACACGGACCCATATCGAACAGGAAAGGGTACCTATAGACATCTCACGGTTCACCAGCATTGAAGCAAGGCCGAACCAATGCGGTTGAAATTATACACAGCCAGACTGATACGCCACTGATGGAATGTGTAAAAAGATTTCTATGCGGAGGGGCTGATAGGAGGTGTAATGCCTGCATCTTTATTTTGTTCCTCATCGCTTGGACCGAGTAGTGTGGCTCACACCCCACACAGCGGTTGTGCGTCGCGGCCCCGTGGATGGTGGAACCGCACAGACTCGCGCACGAAACGACCGCCGTTCGCCACCCAAGTGGCGGTGACATCACCCGGGGGGTGGGGGGGGGGCTCTTGCACCAGCACTTTTGAGGCTCGCCTGGCAAGGCCACAGGACGAACCCCAGATGTTCTGGGTGACTGTGACGCGGTGTGGGGCCAATGGGTCATTGAGGGAAAGTCTGACGTTGGCCAGCAGATTACGCCCCCATTGGAGTGCTCGCATTCGCCACGGCGGAAAACGAGGGCCCTGGTGGTCCAGATGCACGGTGGGTGGTGACCCCTCCACCGTGAATCTAATTTCCAAAAATACCACAAAATGCACACACATGCACATCGACAGGTGACAGAGATCCCCTAGCGTCAACACAGGGCACTGAACCAAGTGCTGTTTTGGAACATCCATTAAGACTGGTACGGCGCATGAAGGGGTGGTGTGACGACACATTCGGCCGCCTTTGTTTCCCGAATGCTGATGTTTACACACACCAGGTACTAATTTAGCACCGAGTCGACCTAGGTGAGGCGCAGGACCGTTTCTTATATCAATCTCCACTGACATTACCCGTGGCCAGAAATGCACTAACCACTGCTCCCTATACACAGCTACACATGCATATTACTCACGCACGCAAAGAGGCACGTGAACATACCAGCGGCCCGTACGTCCCAACCAAAACCTTGACTGTCTTTTGGCCGTGTCTATTTCCTAACTGGTGCACCTCATAAAATATATTTCAACTTGTAATGCGCCGCACAGTCGTCACTCTCAAGAAGAGAACGACTCGGAGACGCGAGCAACCACGGACAAGCCAGGAATGGTAGCTGTGCGGGTGAGCTGGTGCCAACGATTGCCAAAGTTCCGTGGTCCTCTACATATGAAGATTTTTTTTATCAGCCAATTAATGAGTGTTTACTCGGTGGCCATTGGTCTTGGGGCTTGTGAATCTCACTATGGGGTCATTCTCATCGCTGGTGAATGCTACGGCGGTGTCCATCCCATCGCCGGTGGAATCTCCCGGTGGCGCCGGTTTCACGGCTGGCGTAGCTCGGGGGGGGTGTCGGGCTGGCGGACGGCGTGGGCGACGCGGAACGCCTCCAGCTGTTCCAGCGCTTCGTGCACTCTCCGCAACGTGGGGAACGCGGCCAGGTCCACCTTGAACCTGCGCCGGCGGCGGCGGTGGTGACACGGGCGCGCGCACACACACATACACACCACCTGTTATAGGAATGTGGAATTTCCAGCAAAGGCTTGGAGATAAGCGCTGCTTGCGGGTGACTTGTTTGAGCGGGAAAACACCTTTCACATTTTTTTTGGGCTTTTCAGCCAAATTTAATTCAGATCGCGCGTCACGAGCGATAGAATTCACGAGGTGGGAACGTCGCGAGGCCAAGTGTCAATTCGGAGCCCTCGCAGAGCAGTGCGTCACACCGTGGTGGAAAAACGCTGATGCCAACTATGTCTGTGATGCTTCCAGCGGCTTTTTATCTAAACACCAGGGACGCTGCACGCTCCCACGCCCCCTGCTATAGAAAAACGCTCAAACCATTGGAAGTGAGACTGATATTAATTTTTATCAGATTAAGTACTTGGTCCCAGGAGATTACGTCACACATACTTAGAAATTCCCTTATAGAATTGCCTTTATGCACACCAGGGGCAAGTGAGCTTGTCATACGTCAATCAAACCAAATTTAAAATCTCAAGAGTTGTAATTCAGGGAGTCTTTAGTGTCCATCTCACAGCAGAGTTGTAATTGAGGGAGTCTTTAGTGTCCATCTCACAGCAGAAGACATTTGTAAAAAGCTCCACAACAGTAATTATTACTCAGTCTCAAATCTAACAAGTTATTATGGGCCTAAGTGAATTTTACTTCGACGTGCATTTATATTTGACTTTTACACTCTTTTGGTTGTAACTAGTTTAACAGTATTTTGGAGGGGATGGGGAATTTTTTTTTATTCAATTATTTTTACTCTTCTAATCACGAATATACAGACCTGCTTGCTTCTGTAAGTTGTCAATTGAGACCTGCATTGTGAATTGGACACCGAATACACAGACGACCGCGTTTGGGCGACCCGTGAATAAGAGACTCGTGTCAATTCTAGTGATGCTGTAAGAGAGGAATAAAAAGGGTGCAAAATATTTGAATGTGGGGCCCTGAAATAATACAGCCTCAAGTTGTTTATTAATTTCACTCATTCATAGGGCAAAGGTCAGCCGTGAGTTCTACACCGCTTTAAGTTACGTGCTAAACGCCTCAACATTAACGACACTCGTCGTCAGTGCAAACCAAGAAATTCGCCTTCCATGGAGTTTTGATGTTAAAGTTGATAGAAATCAGAGACCCCAGTTACTCGTAACAATTAAAGACTATGCAGGAATTAAAGCGATCAATTCCTCCGGTGGAAACATCACTGAATGTAGCAAACGGTTTAATATTATTGACAGTCGTAACAATATTGTTTTGTCTTGGCAAATTCCATCCAGGATAGTTTACATTATTACAATACATCTGCTATGAATTACAATTTATTTTTCAAATCTTTAATTTCCAGTTGGTTTTGGTCTGCACTGATTTAATAAGGTATTGTTACATTTCATATGCTTCCATTTACACAGAAGGTATCCCTTGCACAAGCAAACAAAAACCACCAAGGGACCAGAAGTCTCACTTGGCTCCCACCAGGTTATTAATAAAAGAAGTCCGTTGAATAACGGAGAGTTGGTCAGAGGCACTCCGAGCACATAATTCCTCTTGGGGCTAGTAGCGCACAAGAGCGTAATGGAACGCGCGCGTATACGCACGTGTGTTGGCCCTGCAGGAGAACAGGACCCCCACCCCACCCCCGTGCTTGTGTATTCCTGCACCCATGCTTGTGTTGCGATCGAAACGTCGTGGCTTTTTGTTTGCTTTTATTATTTATTATTTTGTCAGGCTACAGTCTACATTATAGACTGCCGGTACACTCACCGAGGTTAAGAACCAGGCTACAGTTTACAGTATAGACTGCTAGTATGCTCACCGAGGTTGTCTACATTATAGACTGCCAGTACACTCACCCAACTTAATAACTAATGTTACAGTCTACATTATAGACTATAGGTACACTCACCAAACTTAATAACCAAGCTAGTCTACATTATAGACTGCTAGTACACTCACCCAGCTTAATAACTAATGTTACAGTCTACATTATAGACTATAGGTACACTCACCAAACTTAATAACCAAGCTACAGTCTACTTTATAGATAGCTAGTACACTCACCCAGCTTAATAACTAAAGTTACAGTCTACATTATCGACTGCCAGTACACTCACCAAACTTAATAACCAAGCTACAGTCTACATTATAGACTGCCAGTACACTCACCCAGCTTAATAACTAATGTTACAGTCTACATCATAGACTATCAGTACACTCACCAAACTTAAGAACCAGGCTACAGTCTAGATTATAGACTGCCAGTACACTCACTCCGATTAAGAACCAGGCTACAGTATTATTTTTTATTTGTATTAACTTTATTTTTTATATTTTTTCTTCTATCTACGTGACTTTACCGAAAGAACCAAATAATGTGTGTGCATGTATCGCTGCGTGTGTGTATGTATCGCTGCATGTGTGTATGTATCGCTGCATGTGTGCGTGTGTATTGCTGCGCGTGCGTCGTGTGTATGTACCGTCACGCGTAAGTGTGTGCGCGTGTGTATTGCAGCTACTTGTCAGCTGGACGCAGACAAGGGCTGCACAAACACTTCCAATACACGAACTCGTCGAAGAGCCGCAACCATCGACCGCACCCACCACCACCACCCGCGGAGGCGACGCTTATTTAGAGAGCTTAGCGACGGTGGTGTGAAAGAGCCTCCAATTTCTACTCCACCACCACCGCCGCCGCCACCACGGCCCAATAGCTTCAGTGGGAGGGGGGGAAGGGGGGGGGCTGAACACCCTACCCTGCTGAAAGCTCAAAGCCCATTCTAAATCTTACACTCAAGTCAAACAAGGGGAGAGCCTTTCTTAAATATACATAGGGGATGAGAAATAAAAAAACAGATATATACGTTGCGATTTCAAAAATTGGGACTTCTGCGAAAAAGAGCTCTATAGCTCATCGGATTCCTCAAGCATAAAGTCTGAATCCGATTCTAAACCCAACGGCTTGATGCAACAGACGATATCGTTACTCACTCTGCCGACAAATTCGACAACCATTCAAAGTGTGCTTATTATTCACCGTGTTGCCCCCCGCCTCATTTCTTGCACGCCCCCAGAACCCCTGGAGCAAGGTCACGCACGCGGCAGGCATGGGTTTGCACCGCCGCTGCCACCGCCACCGCCCTCGCCGCCAGTTCCCCGAGTCGCTTCGATCGTCCCCCGCAAGTTTAACGAGCGGCCGCGCAAACCCGACACATGGCTCGACGGTGAGGCTCCATTGTGGGTCACCTATGGCGTAGGCCAGGTCTCAAAGATGTGTTTCTGTCTGCGCTCAGGAGTCTAGATGTGTGTTACATTTTGTGTTGGTATTGTGCGTGTAGTTTGACCCTTGAAAGAGCTATGAACCTGCTCAAATAGAAAAGTTTCTCTCCATCTCTGTGTATATAAAAGGCCCCCCCCCCACCCCCCAACACCAGGATGCTAAGGCCTAGGGAAAAAACTTCCCAGGGGGTCCCGAGATCTCAGGAGGTCCAGCCTGTGTCTGCTTTTAATTAAAATAACAAGTGGCCGTCATTTAAAAAAAAAAGTCTGTCTCCGACAAGAGATTGCGTGGCCTTGTTAATATGGGATTTGCCGTACCGTAAAATCTTAACCCTACTTAACCTCAGTTGCAGCTCTGCACGGTGCCGTTTTACCGCAAACCTTCCGGGATATGGAACTAGATCACCTATGAATAAACGTTCCGTTATTGAACCACACGGCCGTACGTGCTCCAAAGTTAATTTTGTCCACAAAATTTGTGATGAATGCGTTCGTCAAAAGTTTTTTTGGATTCCAGTCATCGACGACGACTATGATCGGACGGAGATCATCGTCAAGCGCGATGATGACGACAACGGCGATGACTGCCCACCCAAGGCGCGACCGGCTGCGATGACGAAGACTAAGACCGAAAACGATAATTGGCTGTATATGTATAAAAAATATTTCACGAGTTCACCGATTGGCTAACCTGATAATATTCGGAGGTGGTGACGGGAAGGGAATTGCACGCCCTTCACACCAACATATAAAAACGAAGGGTGAACAAAATGTTTCACTGCGTTAGTCGACAAAGCCTAAGAGAACAACTAGCTGAAATTCACAGGCTAAGACGTGACTAAAATTCCACAGGTTGTCGTCGACTAGACTGACTAAATGTTTAAATGCTGACTACATTGACACTGGTAGCGAGAGAAAAAAAATCACCCCTGGGACACCACGAGAGGGGGAAGTAATAAATATAATGTATGGAAAAAACATAAACGGTAAATTGACGGCATGCTGGAATGGAAGTCCCCAAAAGAGACAGAGATGAGCAGCAGGAAGAACGGAGGACCGGACAGCAGGAAGGGGAGGATGAGGGGGAGAAGGGCCAATATGTCGAGGATGAGAGGGTGATGATAAGATGATGAGAGGGTGATGATGAGAGGGTGATAACGAAAGGAAGATGGTGAGAGGGTGATGGTGAGATGGTGATGGTGAGAGGGGAGGGCAGAGAGGGAGGGAGATTGAAGGAAGGAGCGAGCAGAAGTGAGCTGCACAGAGCGGCGTGTTGTCACAGGGGGCGGGGGAGACTGGAGGGGGATTCAGAGTGGGGTCGGTCACACAAGAGTCGCGTTATTTACGGGAGGCTTGAGCTGATCTAGATGTATTGATTACCTTACGTGCAAGGGGAACGGTTTGTCAGCCACAGTTAAGGGGTGTGGTGGCTACGCACGACTGTGATCCAGCGCTTTTGAGGTCGGGGGTTGGTGGATTACGCAGAGATCTGTAAAACTCTAAAACCCACTGGGGGGGCTGCGAGGGGGCCAGGAGATGACAGTCGAGCAAGTGGGTTCAGGAACCTTTTTGTACGGTGACTGTTATTTCCTCACCTGCCTGAGTACTCTGGTTTCTTGTCGCAGCCCAAACACTCATTAAAAAGGAATTGGCTACATAAAAATAACTAAGTAACGCTTTCCTCGCAGATAAATAATTGACAAGAGGACCAGTGTAAGTAACCTTTGCTACACTTTGAGTCGAGCAGTAAATAGTTTTCCGGCCGGAGAGTGCGAGTGCGACCTCTTACCTGGTGGCATTGTACACCTGTGGCACGAGGCACAGGTCGGCCATGGTCACCTGAAAAACAGGCGCGGGCACGCGGCGTCGGCTGCGGTGCTGTGACACGGCCATCATGAGCACCCCCCCCCCAACGACCGGGGAAGCCAACAAAATAACCTTGAAACTTACACTTGGCAAACTCTAAACGTGGCGCGCATGTAAAATGGCCGCAAAAAGACCACCGCTGGCTCCCAGTAAACGTGGAAATGCTGAACCGACACGAAAAATAAGGATAGGTTTCATCCTTTCTGGAAAAAAAAGCTGGTGTTAAGATGTTCAAACACCAAATGTGTACCTTTTTGCAAGGCATTAAGTCTGCATTAACCGCACACATTTGTGGCAAAACTTGCAAACAAACATGCTCAGCCACGTGCCAACGTTGAGCGAACGTTGGCACGTGGTTGAAACCGCCGAACCGTACGTTGACCCAACGTTGGGCCAACGTTCCACGTTTACCGGGGCCCTCACCTCGTCTCCGACGCAGTACTTCCCGGCCGTCTTCTGCAACATCTGCTCCACGGCTGCACTCGCAGGAAGAGCAGGACAGCGGCACGGAGAGCACGGGCGGGCACGCGTCACCGCGTTAGCGTCCGCGTACCGTCGGGCGGCACCGCGCAGCCGCACGCCGCACGGCACGCGCAACTGCTCCATTTGCCCCAACGCGCATTTCCCGTTTTAGTTTCGTTTTCATCGTTTACGCTTTGCAACAACTGTTTTGAATGTTCGTTTTGCCTGTGCAGTTTACGTATGCATGTTGAACTTATTTCGCACCATACGTTAGCCAACCTTCCTAGTCGGAGGTACGGAAGGACGGAAAACTAAACACAAAAAGCAGTGAAATTTTGATTTAAAGCTTTCGTGACTGCAGTAATTCATATTCTTAGCTCTTTCGGTAAAGTATTGTTTTATATATATTTTAGTATTTTATTGTTTCCCTTCAACGTGACTTTACCGAAAGAGCTAAGAATACAAAAAGCAGTTCTAAAGAAATTAGTTTTTCAATCTAGATTTAAGATGCACAGCTCCCCCAAGTGGCTATCTAACATTGGAAGAGCGTTCCAGATGGCCACAGAAGTGCATCTGAAAGCGCACGATGCGGTAACCGTCTTTGTTCGACGGCTAGCCAATGCGACTCCACTGTACGGTATCTTGAGATGTGCTTATTTCTAGATTGCTTTGCTACCATGGGTTGGCGTACAATAGTACATATGAATGGAATGGTGGAGATGAGGTGAATTAAATATATGAGAGGAAGTAATGGGAAAATCTGTGATGCGTGAAATCGGTGAAAGCGAAATTGATGACAGTAAAGTGATGATGAATGGATTGAATGAATGGGGTATGAGTGAGAGCCACATGAGAATATCAAGAGGGAAAAGTAACGGTGGCACATACGAGGTGGAGACTGAGGGGTCGTTGGGCGAGCTAGGGAAAATAAAGCGGAAACTCGTGAGCGAAGGTGACCGCTTAATGTGGAGGGGAAGTTTGTTCCGGTGAAGGGGAACGAGAAGAGCAAAAGAGCGAGAGTGCGGATTGAGCGCAAGGCGGAAGAGGAACAGAGAGAGACGGCAACGATTGTGAACGAAGAGGGCGAGCAGGCACGTAGCAGGAAATTAGCGTGGCAAGATATGGTGTGGCAAGACCGCGAAGGGGTTTGTAGTAGACCAGGCAACCTGCTTTTGATTCCGGGCCATGGCTACCGCGAGTGGCGAGCGATATCTGAACCTGCACTGCCCCCCCGCCCCCCCCCCCCAACCACTTCACCAGCCTGCACTGACCAGTGTGGTGGTGATACATGGCGGTCAAGTAACTCCCACAACATGGGGAGGCCTTCATCCAGCAGTGGATTGACAAAGGGTTATAGATTATAGATTTAAAAAAAAACTATACCCTGGAAACCCTTGGCGATGAAGTTCTGGGCCCATTCCTCCTTCCTTGCCTCCCCCAAGTACTTCAGCACGGTCAGGTTCTGTGATGGGAGTGGGGAGAGGATGCAAGGACATAGGTACGCTGGAGTCAAGATCATCGTCATCTCCATCGTCCTCAATTTTCGATATGAATTCCTAAGAAGTCTGCAACAGGTCTCAGGAGCGGCAAACAAAAATAATATTTTGTACGTCTCACTAACTATAATGAGCAAGTGGAAATGGGAAGCAATGGTTGGGGTTTAGCGATGTCATCGGCAGCGTTGGGCGTGGCTTGCAGTGGGTTTCTCCCACCTGTAGTGGCTGGATGCCGGTGACAATGGTTTCCGAGATCATGCGGACGAGGGCTCGCTTCCCTGGCTCCTTGGGTAGGAGGGCAGGGCCTTCCCGCGTCTCCTCCAGGTACTCGATTATCGCCAGCTAGCGGGGGACGGAAGGAGACAAGGGTCAGGTCACGACAATGACGGTGGCGACAAAACTTTGCCGGGACCGCCGTGTGCGCGCCTGTGCTCGCGTTCTGACAGTCTGTTAAAAATCATGTTTGGGGGATCTTTGTCTTTGAGTGCATATGTATATTATTGTGTTCATCTGTCATTGCGTTTGTGCGTGCGCACATGTTTGCGTGTACGTGCGTACATGTGCACGTTTATTTGTGTGTGTACGTGTGTGTGGATAGACAAATAGAGGAGGATAAAAGGGTGCGGCATGGGCTAGAGAGGAGATAGACTGATACATTATAGAAGGATATGGAGCTGATTGAACTTGCCGATGACCCGTACCAGCGGTGTCAAGATCGGCCTCTGTGGAGGAAGGTTCTTTAAGGATGCCACTGGGCAGTTGGAGGCAGTCACCCTCCAACAGCAACGGTGGGCAGATGAGTGACACTCACAACAAGCAGAGTGCCGGGCAGCTGTTGTTGTACCTGTGTGCGTGTGCGTTAGCATGCGTGCCAGTACCGACTGCGAGATAATTATTCCGTCGATGTCGAGTGCCGGAATCTGTCCCATCGGGTTCTTTTTACGGAAATCATCTGTCAGCTGCATTCTCACACACACACATATATATATTAATTAACACATTTAGCAATTACAAGACCGCTGGGGCAAGGGCTCTTAGCAAGCGCCCATTCATACCGGTACGGCACGAGTGGACGTGGCCAGGACCGTGCCAAGTCCCATTTGTCTCCCCGGTGCTGATGTTTAACATGTCGAACCAGCTACTCATTTATGGCTAAGGCACCTCCAAATGCAGCCATAAGCTAGTGGTCGAAATTCCACGTGCTACACTCTTGACTTCTCACAAGGTGGTACTGATTTTGCCGTCCTCAGAAGGATGATGGGTTGAGCCGAACGGGGTGTAACTCCTACACCTGCCATCGCTCACCTGCTCGCCCTTGAGGAGGTTGACAGGAATCTGGTCATACTCGATGCCTTTGTACGCCAGGGCTGCAACACACATTAAAAAACAAATACTGTAAACACAAGGTGGCTGGGTGGCTCAGGGATCCAATACAACTGAAATCTGCGGTTCAAATCCTGCGTGTGGAACATGGAGTGTTATCCCCTGGTACTTTATACCAGTGAGATCCTCGGTTCGAATGCGGTGGGCAGTGTTGAGTGTTACCCCCATGGCACCCGGTATCGACATCCAGGGTTCTAATCCAGTGGAGCATGGAGTATTACCTTCTAGTATGTGCAATGTTTTTTTTATATATATAAAAAAAGAAAGTTTTCCAGTTATCTCCCACACGAATGAAAACTCTCAATAATGGGATTGTCTAACTTTCCACACGAAACAGGACCACCTTGAAAAAGAGTCTTGAAACTAAGCGAGGAATTCCAGGATAAAATATACTGCATTATTATCATATTTTAACTAAGAGGGAAGTTCATAATGGAAATTATATCAACAACAGCAGATCTGAACACAATCACAATGTAGGTGTAAATCCCGAACATTAATCCAGCATGTGAAGACGTTTTGGTTTGGTGAAAAACCAGTTTTGAGGAATGTGGAACGTTACTCGGGTTAGGGGCAGGCCTTCCAAACCCCCAATCCCCGTGGCTTTCCAGGTAATTCGTTCAACATTAGAAAAAAAAAGTTTAAAGTGGTGCAGACCTGCCGTCACATGCTCGGAGGAAGTTCTTTGAGGACCTCCTCTGGAGGGTATTTTAGCCTACTCTTTCACACTGGACAGAGACACGGATAAGGTGGCAAGTATCCACACTTAACCCCAGCAAACAAAGGTTCCAGTTGAGAGAACTTGCACCGTTGTGGCTTTTATTTTCTCAAACTGCCGTGCTGGCATGTGGAGTCGAACCGGCGACCCCGGGATTGTCAGTCCGGTGTGCTGACCATTCCGCCGACGGCAGCATTCGCGTTGGGCAATCTAAACAAAGGCGCTTAGGACTCCGTAATTGGTAACATTCTCGAAAATGAATCAATAATGGTGGCATGGAATTGATCAGCGTTCAGAGTTGGCACACCGTATCGTGTGTCACGCTGGCCCGAATAGGCGCTCCCTAAATGCGCGTGTCCGCGTGGGTTTTACTGGTACTGTAGCCCAAGTACTCTTCTTTTACGCACGGTCAACATTCGACATATGTTGTGTGTACATATACATACCATGGTCGTCAACACATGGCTCAGTAGACACACGTGTCCTGTATGCCCATGTGTAACACACCCGACACGTGTTCGCGGTTCAGTGCAGTCGCTGTTGTTGAAACCACGTGGGAGCCAATTGACTGACACACAAAATGTACCTCTGTTTTGCACTGAATTATGTGGAGTGTACACATGGGCGTTGCTGTGCACGTGGGTAAGTGTGCACGTGGCCGAGTGTGCACGTAGGTGCATGTTACCTTGCACACGTTAACGCTTGTACAGGTGCGTGAGCTCGCGGGCACACGTGTACACATGCTTGGGTGTATATACACACACACACGTGGTGCACACGTGATTTAAACGCGTGCACGTGCGCCCTATCACGTTCACATACAGGGGCGCGCATGTAGACGTTTACACGGGCGCGTGTACGCTAGCCCGCGTGTACGCTAGCCCACGTGTACATTAGCCCACCTCCGATTAGCACGGTTGGCTACGTACGGCGCGAAGGAAATTCAATATTTTAGTTATTTTTCCCCAATTACATTCCTTTAATAATTATCAAATAGAGCAAGTTAAGATCTATAAGTATCTTGGGGTCATCCTGGATTCAAAACTTAATTTTGAAGATCACATTGATAATATTGGTAAAAAGACAAAAAGAAAAATTGGTTTTCTGTATCGACACAAGCATTGCTTCCCCCCAATGTTCCGTTTGGAATTGATAAAAGCTACCATACTGCCTCTACTTGATTACTGTGATATCGTGTATAAATCAGCCCCAAGTACTGTACTGAAAAAGCTTGATTCCATCTATCACTCGGCCTTAAGATTTGCATTGTACTGCCCATATAGGACTCACCACTGTGATCTCTACATTGGGTCTAACTTAACATCTCTTAATGTTCGACGGCTTGTGCGCCAGATCTTATTTATTCACGATGTACTTACAAAAAGATCCACAGACTACCTACTGGATCTCCTCTCTGTTTCAAAGAACAAATTTGACCTCAGGTCTTCGCTCATCTACCAGCTTCACATTCCCTATTGCCGTACAAAAACCGGAGGAAGGGCCTTTGCTATTGATGCCCCCAGGGTCTGGAATGCTATTGCCAATAAACTGCAACTTGAATCACTACCTATGAGATCTTCACTCAAAACTGCTCTAGAGGAGTTGTACACCCCTATCTGCCACTGCTATTCAGTGGCCTAAAATATGGCTCTAGATTTTGGTGTTATAATTGATGTAGTTTATTGTAAAAAATTTGGTCACAGTCCCTATGATCACTGTTACATTGCATTTAATGCTTTTATTTTGGTGATTTCGAAAACGTTTTTTTGTCTTGGCCATGTTTTTGTTTATTGTATACGGAGTTAGACTGATAGCTTTAATCTTAGTTGTCTTGTGGTTGTTGTTGTTATTTTGATTTGCATTCCACTGGGATTTTTTGCACACAGCGTTGGTGTACGGTGCTATTTCGGGAATATTTTTGATTTTTTTTCCTGGATTTTCTGTTTGCACAGTCACATAGTCACTTTAAGATGTTTTCTTGTTCATGTTTTTTTGTTTGTTGCGGTTGCACCCGATTCAAGAGTCGAATGGCTCACAGGGCTATACCAAATAAATGAACTATGAACTATAATATACACACGTACAACCGAACTCTGCTCGCCGCGCTAACCACTGCGCCACCGCTCCCCACTCCCACACGTGTGTAGCACTTGTGAGTACACACGTGTGTTGTGCGTGTGTGCTTTGGCCCGCGTGCTGCTGCTGTTGTTGTTGACGGGCCACCGCCCCCGTGAACTCACCAATCCGGACGCGCCAAGCGCACGAGCTTCTGAAGTAGGAATACAGCAAGGGCTGCAAAAACGGATCGCAAACTTAAGCACATCATCACACGCACGTCATCACACGCACATCATCACACTCACATCAGCACACTCACATCAGCACACGCACATCAGCACACGCACATCATCACACGCACATCATCACACTCACATCAGCACACTCACATCAGCACACTCACGGGTACACGCGTGCAGCCTGAACAGACTGTTGGGGCAAGTGCTGTTAGCGAGCAGCACCAATGAAGGCCGGAACGGCACGCGAGGGGTCGGAGTGGCCAGCAATCACGCCCGGCCACCTTTGTCTTGTGTGCACACACACGTGCACACATACGTGCATACACACGTGCACACACAAACACGTGCACACAACGGGACGGTCAGATTCACCTGCAACAATCACAGCCATCACCACCGTCGTCATCATCATCACCGTCGTCATCATCATCACCGTCGTCATCATCACCGTCATCATCTCCACCGCAGCAAATCCACAGCTTCACAAAACACGGCGCAACCGTCATCACCAAACACCACAACCACCATCAAAACCAAACAGCACCACCAAACACCACCACCATCGTCGTTGTCGTCGCCGTGAGTACTGAGTGGGCGTGGAGACCCAGTCGCTTTACCTTGAGCGTGGAGGCCGCCATGGCACAGGAGCGTGCCGACTCGGAGCGCAGAGAGACCGCGCCGAGCTGCGGGGCGGCGAGAGGCGCTAGGGGGCGGTGCGGGACCGGGGGAGGGAGGAGAGAGGCGGTGAGGAGTGGGGAGGGTGGAGTGGGAGGGGAGGGTGGGAAGAGAGGAGGGAGTTGGGAGGGTGGAGTGGGAGGGGAGGGTGGGAAGAGAGGAGGGAGTTGGGAGGGATGGAAGGGGAGAGAGAATGGATGAGTGGGCAGCGAGAGAGGAGGGACAGAGGACGAGTGGAGGGTGAGTTGGGGGACATGAGAGGAGGGATCGGCAGCTCAACGGCGGCTCCTGCTGCTGGAACAGTGATGGCAGCCGCACTTTGAGTGGGTGAGGGTTGGACTGTGGGTTCGGGGTGGCTAAGTGGTTCGGGGCCGTCCATAAATGACGTCACGCGAGTTTGGACGATTCTTGACCCCCCAACCCCTTGTCACACAAATTCAGACCCCACCTCAAATATGACGTCACAAAGCTCTGCCCCCCCTCCCCCCCCCCCAAAATAAAACATTCTTCAAATCGCTTTAAACTATTGTCATTGTAGTGCGTATCTCATGTGGCGCTGCACTCTGATGTTGTAGGAGAAAACATTTATTAAAAAGTATATTTAATTAAGTAGAACGTGTTGTCTATATTTATTTAAAGTTCCGCATTTTGATGTGACGTCACATTTCTCAAACCCCCCCCCACGCCACAAATGTCTGAAACCCCCCCCCACCCTAGGTGCGTGACGTCATTTATGGACGACCCCTTAGGCGTTATAGTTAAGAGCCACGGGTGTACGGTTAGGGTCAGGATCAATAGGGCTTCGTGTTCGTGGCAGGGATATGAGTTCGTGGCCAAGGGTGAATGTTTAGGGCTGAGTTAAGTGGCGAGGCGCCTGAAATGAAGGATTGTTATCTTGTAACTTTCCACTTATTGGGCAAAGGCCTCTCACATTTTGTTCCATTCCTTCGTTTTTTTGCGTGTCGGTTGAGGAACAAGCAGTGAGTGAGTGTTTCCATGACGGTTGAGGGACAAGCAGTGAGTGAGTGTTTCCATGACGGCTGCAAGTTATAAAGACTAATGTTCGGGCCAGGGTCAGAGTTCGGTGTTATGGTTTTAAGGATTGGGGCTAGGGGGCCGCGATTTTGGACGATTTTTGACCCCCCCCCCCCGCTTCGTCACACGGCGTCACAAAAAGTCAGACCCCCCCCTTTAAATATGACGTCACAAAGCTCTGCAAACCCCCCCCCCCAAAAAAAACATGCTTAGATCGCTTTAAACTATTGTCATTGTACTGCGTATTTAATGTGGCGCTGCACGCTGATGTTGACGGAGAAAACATTTATTACAAAGTCTATTTAATTAAGTAGAACGTGTTGTCTATATTTGTTTAAAGTTGCGCATTTTGATGTGACGTCACATTTCTCAAACCCCCCCCCCCCCCATCGTCACACATCGTCACAAATGTCTGACCCCCCCCCAGGTGCGTGACGTCATTTAAGGACGGCCCCTAGGGTTGTCTCGTCAGGTTTAGAATCGGTCATAAGTAAGGGTTGGTGGTGTTTTTTTGGAATGATTTATGTTTTTATTGATTAATTACAGTAGTTAAATCAAATAAAAAAAATCTTGTGTTTGGGTGGTGGCTGTTCAAATGCAATTCCCTCCACAAACTGAGTTTGAACCACGTTTCATCCATCCGTGTTGATGGTCCCAAAACGGTCACAAATGACTGCACAAAAAAACCCAATCGATTTTAAAGGTGGGGGTTTCACAAGGCCCGGCTGAATTCCATATCACACTTTAATAATAACAAAAATCTAATTATCTGCTGCTGCTTTTGTGGAAGTGGTGCAAAAGATTATTTGTCAACAACAAAAACCCCCCAACACATTCGTCAATAACGCTGGTGACACACTAGGCGGCGTTTTGGGCAATGCCCCTATAAAGGAGTGTCATTTTCCGATACGCCAACTATTAAATATTTTTCTTTTAAGGCCAGTGTTATCGACAAATGTTTTTTTTTTAAATATCCGTTTGACACGCGACGGACAGGTCCGTGTGAAAGGTGCGCCTCGAGTGTGAATCGGCAGGTGTCCAGATGTCAGACGTCAGAGCCCTTCTTCTAATGCAGGGTGGACCACTGCGAGCTGCAGTTCTAAACGGAGATACGTTCATAATACTAGGTTGTTCCCCTTTCTGACGATAAAACAGGTGTTAAGATGTTTAAACACTAAATAGATACCTTTTGCAAGGAATTAAGTCTGCATTCACCACACGTACTTGTGAACATGGAAACAAACGTGCTCTGATAGTATATCAGAGCACGTGTGTTTGCACGTTCACCACAAGTACGTGTGGTTAATGCAGACTTGTTTGCCTGCAAAGGGTATCTATTTGGTGTTTGAACATCTTAGTACATTGTTTTATTGCCAGAAAAGGGTCAGCCCTATTCTTATTTAATAATAGGGTTTTTCCCCTTTTTTCTGGCAACAAAACTGAAACCTTTTTACAAGGATTCATGTCTGCAATAACCACAATACCTGCAGTCAAAATGCAAACAAAAAAACATACTATGATAATATATGCATTGTCCTTGAAACTGATTGGTCCACACCAAGGGACGGCTTTCTTTTGAGCCTCGACCCAATTAGTGCTCGACCAGATGACGCCAAAAGGCATACAGCTCAAAGACAATGCACTATCAAAGTAATGAGGGCTCGGGGTGAGCATCCCCATCATTCGACCTCCTTTTCCAGTACCAAAATATAAGAATAGGGTTTTTCCCCTTTTTTCTGGCAAAACTGAAACCTTTTTACAAGGATTCATGTCTGCATTAACCACAATACCTGCAGTCAAAATGCAAACAAAAACATACTATCATCTATTCTTATTTTTCATACTTTGATACTGGGGGAAAAAGGTCCCAGGAGATACGTGTCTTATGAATCCGACAGCACAGTTGGGATGCAATTTTGGGTAGTAACTTTCAAAATGGTTCGTTCCTCCGAATATATACACTTAGGAAATGTAACGCACATTGCCAGCAATAGAAAGGCGCACCTCAAGACTGTTTGGTTTTCATTTCATTTTTATTCTTTTATTTTAATGTCATTACACAAGGTATTGCCACCATTGCATTTTTTTGTTTTTTTATTCTTCGTAATATTTTTTTTAAATAATAAACAGTGGCATCGTGTCGCATACTTTCGCTTATTTTTTTTTTAAGCAGCGCAAACAAACCCATTAGCCTCCTCCAGAAAAAAAAGGGTCACAGATTCTAGAGGCGTAACAAATTGAACGTCGCGGTGTGATTGTAGCAGCCACCAGCGGCTGCGGGGCGGGGCGAGTCGAACCCATTGCGACTGCGTCAACTTTGGCGGCAGTGCTTGCAGAGCTCTCCCGGTTGTTAACCGCGTGTTGTTTGGCACGGCGTCCGACGTTTCGCTCCGTGTGCTTGGGAGCTTCTTCAGGAACTGAACTGAAGTTCCCTGCAAAGTGGCATGAAATGTCGGGACATCGTGCCGAACAACACATCGTGGCGCCGGGAGGTCAGTTACGTAAAAACGACGACATTTTTCAAATTGCCCCGAGCTTCGATTTAAATCGGTGCCAATTAAGGGAGACGTTCACCTTTAAGGTCTTTTATGCAACCGTCCCGCCCACAGATGCTGTATTTGCACCCCACGGGAGGGCACGTTGAGACTGGAGGTCTCTTTTTTTTTTACAATTGAGACCCAAGGCATGTAACACGCCAGATTGAAGCATATCGAACCCCCGCCCCCCCCAAAAAAAATACAAGCGACAGACGCGTGGGCCGCGAGCTTAAGAATCGCCGTTAAGTAAGATCCGTTACACCTCTGCGCAGAACATTGGGGCCCCACCGCGGCCGCTCTTGCATCCAGAATCACGTTTTCCCATGCAGCACGATGCATTTGTCCACTCTGCGGCCGATTGAAAACGGCGTCACGGGTGCCGTTTGTGTCGTCTCAACCTCCACCACCTTCTCTTACAAAGAGAAAAAGTCTGCTCTTAAGGTTTTTAGGCCACCATATTTCAACGCAACCTGAGCCAAGGTTTCACTCGCTCCAGATCTTGCAAAATTACCACAGCTCGCATCCTTTCCACGTTTATCTTCTCTGTTCGAATACAAATTGAGCAGTTTAACGCGTAGGGCTTTCGCGACCAATATCCATAAGAGGTTTTTTTTGGTTAGATTGCATGTGTCGTTAAACCCGCCAAGACCCAACACAGCCAATTAGTAAGGTTTCACAGATAGGCATGTCTGATGATTGGTAACAATTGATCGTATAATGTAGAGAGCTTCGATTCAAATGTAAAGATCTTGTGTGTGTACATGCCATACACAAGACCTCGGCACGTGCCATGACCTGCCAGTAAGCCTTCGACACTTTTGAGGCTTCAGTGACCTGGCACAAGAGCAATCTTGACTTCCATAATTTCGTTTTGAGAGCGCAGATTCAAATGAGATTGATGAACATGGAAATGCGGATTATGGTGGGCCACAAGGACTCCGGGGTTTGGGAACTCTGCCATAAGTCAAATAGCAATGTACATTCCTCAAAATTGCTTTTTTAGAGAAGAAAACCGTAACATGTCTGCATTTGCAGCATTACACTTACATCATGATTGTTCAGACATCTATAGCACTATTTCTCTTCATTAAATAGACAGTAATCGGTATCGATGCCATTTATTTATCCAGGAAAGCCTCACCGACTCTCAAGACTCTTTTTCAAGAGGCCCCTGGATTGTGATGTTTGGCCAATTTGACGAAAGAGCGTTTGTCTTGGTGTGGAAAGGAAAGTTGTGTAACAGGTGAAAAACCACTTGCCGTACACGATGGGGTAACACTCAAAAGCTCCACACAGATAGAGATTCAAGAATCCGTTGATGTACTCTCATCTCCTGGCCACCTCGCACTGTGTGTACACACTGCACTTGCAGCTAACCGGCGTGTGAGCTGTGCTGCGGCAGTGTGCGATGACGACACCTCCTATCGTGCAGTAGGAAAACACACTGCAAGCTGCAAATGCATCCGAATGTTCTCTTTCAGCACAGTTCTTCCATCTCTAGT